TTGTTGAAATGTGGTTGAATTATACATGTTTTATAAAGTCTGAAAATCTGACTTGCATGGTTTTTGTAATAGAATATGCCATATTTCTATAAAAATAAATGAATATTAAAGCAAAATTGTCAATACTGAGGATGAAAAGAGGGCACTACTCAAGCGACAGGAACTGTGTGTATATAAAAATAAACTTTAGAAATTTACGTGGTTTAGTCAATAACTTGCGAATTAAATAGCTACTGAGCTGCGACAAAGCCAAAGTCAAAATCTAAGAGAACATCTAGATTCTAGAAAGTGGTGACCCTTCAATAATTAGCATAAATCTTAGAAATCCTTATGACCGTCGTCATGATACATAAGTAAGTGTACTTAGCTAGATACAATGTATGTATACATCGATATTTTTACATTCGTGTATGTGTCCGAAATCTCTAGATTTGAATTTCATCGAAAACTGTCTATAAAAAAGAACCCCATTCTCTTACTTATACATACTTTTTTCTCTATATTTTTTCTAGCTCGCCACCTCAAAATGATTTCTTTTTTAATAACTTTTTCGGAGGGTTAGAGCCAACAACCAACGATTTCGGCGGTATTGGCATGGCTAGACCACCACACATGAATCGTGGTCCAAAAATGTCACCAGAGTCCTCCAATAATTCGAGCATCAGCTGCAGTTGGTGTGACGTGAATGCTTCGATTCGTTGCATTGAGTGTAATGAGTTTATGTGCAATGGCTGTTTGCGTGATCACCGCAATAGCCCCCTCTCCTCAAATCACTCAATTGTTTCGTTGCCCACACCAATTGGCACTTCGCCCACCGGCGGCGTTTCTGCTGCTACCTTGAGCGCTCCGTCACCCAATTACGTTTGTGAGTTACACAATGAAATGTTGCGCTATGTTTGTGATTCTTGCAAAAAGTTAGTTTGCCAATGTTGCACCCTGCACGAACACAAGGAACATAACTACGCTTCGATACAAAGTTTCGTAGATGAAGCTAATGATAAGATTAAATCGGCTCTTGAAAGTAGCCGTACTGGCACTAAGTGCATTAAGAGTAGCATTGATAGAGCTTTGGCATTTATAAGACTCATCGAACGTAATTGTGCCGAATTGAGTGAAAATATACGCAAAGCATTTAGGCAATTCTTAATTGCCATAGAGGATCGCGAACGTTTCTTATTGGAATTCGTTGAAAAATTGCGCCAACGCCGTTTAGCTATACTAAACGATCAAATGGCCGGCTTGAAATCGGCTCTCTCAGGGCTCGCCGAAACCTCCGATATGTTGCACAAGATTTCGGAAAATACTACACGCATGGATCAGATTGACATAGCAATGAAGGTTTCAAATGGACAACGTCAACTTGAACAATTTGCAGCCATATACAAGGATTTGCAGCCGAAACAGGAGGTATTTGCATTCCTTACACCAGACTACAACATCTTGCAGGAGATACGAAATCAGGGCGCAGTTGTGCTTGTCGATGAGCATAATATACCAGTGGTGGGCGGTGGCGCCATACTCAGCGGTTCAGTTAACGATCTTGGCGCGGGAGCAGTTATGCCCATGCCTAGCGCCAGTTTGCCTGTTGCCGCTGCAGCGATGCCTACTAACATACGCCGTCCATTCATACGCGAGAACAGTTTCCGTAGCATTCCTTCACCATTGTTGCCCGTACGTGGCAGTAGCGCTTGTGGCATTCAAAGCACAGGCCTGGAATGGGAATTGAGCGTTTTGCGTAGCTCACCGAATTTGCATTTTGGTGCACCGCGCAGCACGCAGGCCATACCCGGTTGCACTGAACATGTGAAGGCGCGCAATTCCAATACACCCTCGTTGTCGTTTGCCACCGAGGGTCACGAAGATGGGCAAGTTAGCCGTCCGTGGGGCTTGTGCGTTGACAAAATGGGTCATGTATTGATCTCCGATAGACGTAATAATCGCGTACAAGTTTTCAATCCAGATGGCACATTGAAGTTCAAGTTCGGCCGCAAGGGTGTTGGCAATGGAGAGTTCGATTTGCCGGCTGGCATTTGTGTAGATATAGACAATCGCATCATCGTCGTTGATAAGGACAACCATCGCGTGCAAATATTCACTTCGACTGGCATATATTTATTGAAATTCGGTAGCTATGGCAAAGAGTATGGGCAATTCCAATATCCATGGGATGTGGCTGTTAATTCACGTCGTCAAATTGTTGTTACCGACTCACGCAATCATCGCATACAGCAATTCGATTCGGAGGGCCGCTTTATACGTCAAATCGTATTCGACACGCATGGACCAAATAAAGGAATCGCTTCGCCACGCGGTGTTTGTTATACACCAACTGGCAATATTATAGTTTCGGACTTCGACAATCACTGCTTGTATTTAATCGATCCGGATGTCAATGAGGTAGGTGGTAATCTTTACTTCACATAAACACATTTTTATATCATATATGCATATGTGTGGATGTACTCGTATTTGTATGTGTCAGAATTACTTTATAAAAATCGTTTGCATTTGCAGATCTTGTCGGCCAAAGGACACGAAGGTTCAGGATTCCAAGAATTTAACCGCCCTTCTGGTATTTGCTGCGACGACGATGGACGCATTATTGTTGCAGATTCTAAGAATCAACGCATCATTGTTTACAGTCCTAGCCTGGAATATCTATGGAGCGTAAGTATAAGCATTCAAAGTTAGAAATTATATAAATCTGTGGCATTTTATTAAAATAACTTATCTCGAGATATGCCATTTTTCCTTTAAATCAATATTTCAATGGTTCCCAAACAATATTTCCAGGATCAACTAGCCATTCGGGTAGTTTAAGATGCCCTTTAAATATAGGGTGATTCAATAAGACCGCAGATTTTCTTTTATAAACATAAAATAACAAAATTTGTACAAATTTTTTTTTATTTCGCCATGTCTTTTAGTCTCTGGTATTTATGAATGAAACACAATACCCGCTAAATGCCTATGAGGCAATGTTTACCAATAAAGTTTTTTTTGTATAGGTAATTTTTTAATAGCAAAATTTTTTTAAGCCATAAACTTGATATTCTTTTGTAATAGGATAATTTGATCTAAAATCTATAAGCTAAAGAAATTTTACACAAATATATCGAATGGAAATATATATTTTTTTAATTTTTTCAAACAATCTCTGTACAAAATGTGATCTTTTAATATGACTGTAACATATTTCAGATAATAAAAAAATAATAGTATTTTTGTTACAAATAACATAGTAAAAACATTTTTGCTTTGGTTGGAATAATTTTTTTTTATAAAGGTAAAACATTCGTTTTTTATAATGGCAGCCTCATAGGCGGTGTTTACCATTCTAAGGTTAATAGAATCTCCCTCCACTAGCTATCACTTCTTCATTTTTTTTGCTTTCTAATAATATTTTCATTTCCTTTCAGATTGAAATACGTCCATCGATAAACCCCTTAATGCCGCCCAGTCTTGACGAAAAAGATCGCACCTGCGATGTTGCACTAATGCCCGATGGTCGAATTGTGTTCCTAATCGAATTATCACCAGATTCCAAAGAAGGCTCCAATCCTTATAAAAGATTTGTACACGTTTTCTAATTAACTAGTTAAGAGTATGTAACGCGTATTTCGCATTTCGAATATTTTCAATTTTTTTTTTTTGGACTGCAGTGAAAACGCACGCAAAACTGTTGAAACTGTTTGACTGAAAGTTACGATCACATTGCCATAAACATGTACGTATATTCATACATACAGACATATAACATACATACCTGGTATGTATGCAGTAAAAACAAAAACAAAATAGTATTAGAAGTATGTTTAACATAATTTTCACTTACCTTCACTGACACGCGCTATTCATCCACAAAAATTCGACCTTAACCCACAAAAATCGTACTCAATTCCCATTTACTCATTCATTCATTCATTCGTACATATACCTGCTTACTACATTCAATTACATACTTAAATTATGCATGTATTTACAAGTAATATGTGTAATTACCAAAACAAAAATATGAACTGTACTAGACTGATACGGCATGTCGAGGAGTTCTTCTAAGGAATTTTTTTCAAAACAAATACCGTAAAAAAGGACAAAGTCTGCTTTACGGCACGCGTGAAAATGTCGTACGCTAACTAGTTAAACTAATAGTTTAGTTTTTTTAGATGTTTAGTTCAACTTAATATTTTTTAAACATTAATAATTTTAGACATATTATTGCTTGTTTTTTTTTTTTAATGTAATAATTGCATGTTTAATATTTATTTTTAGAAATATCTACATACGTGCTTTGTGCTTTGTTTTTTTTTTTTTTACAATTGAGACTGAATTAAGGCGCTTATGTTTTAAAAAATTCGAGCGCACAAATTTTAAAATCACTACAACTATTAGGACGACTACATACACACGTAAATTAAACATGTAGTGACGGACTCCAAAGTAAATGTGTGAAAACTATATTCTTTTTTTATTTAAAATAATTGTATTAATTGTTTGTAATAACGTGAATATGCTTGTGTGGAACTTTGGTTAAACTTTTTTAAGAAGACTGACAACCAAAGCGACTAAAACACCGAAAATATGAAAACTCAATTTTGAGCGAAAATTAATTCAAAGAAAATCAAAAGCAAAAAAAAAATATATAATAATAAGAACAAACAAGAACAAACAAAGGCGGCAAATAAATCTGTCTAGTATGTATGTGTAACATATGTAGTTATGTATGTAAAATTAAATTGTAAAACGCTCCAAATACCAATCTCGACAGAGTTTAAGTGAAACTTCACTTGATTGTGTTCATTAGAATTTAACAGGAATTAGTAAAAATATTTAGTGTGTAAGTGCGCATAAAAACTAATAAAATCCATACGATTTTTAAAATAAGTGTATATTAAACAAAAAGTAAACAATTGTATTAACGAAAACATCGGATGGAAGGCACTTTGAGGATGTCGACTTGAGTTTCAACTTTTCGCAACTACAAAATACTAAGGTTTACTAAATAGTAACGTATTAAAAACGCCACAAATCATTAAAAATATATACATACATACATGTATATTAGCATAAGTATAACGTAACGTAACATACATACATACAGACATGCATGCATACTATACATATTTAAATAGCTTAAAACTTAGTGTTTAAGTTAGCGAAATTAATTGATTCAATTGAGTAAAAATCGTACCTATTAGGGTAGTAAACCGTTAACGTTAAGCGTACTCAAGCGAAACTAAAACTAAAAGAAAACAAAAATAACTCAAAATTAAATATATATTCGAACTCTTTATCACTCCACTAAAAGTCCTTCCACAAAAGAAGTTAAGCATTAAATGCAATAATAATTCCATTTACATACATTTCGAGTACGCATACTTTTTTTATAGAATATTTCCATGTAAGGCGTGATTTAACAACAACAACAACAACAAAATAACCAAACAACACTCCAAAAATATTTGCCATTCGATATTGCAAGCATGAACATTCTATTATATACATATTTATTATTTAATAATTATTTTATTTTATTGCCATTTGAAAAAAACACAGTCTCATTACACATTTGCAAAACAAAAAAAAAAAAAAAAAAAAAAAACATAAAACATATAACTTAATAAGCAAGTAAAACAAATATTGTGACATACATTTATAATGTGATCGAAAGATCATGGCTCTTAGAAAGACTTTAAATAATAAGGAAAAACAAAACAAAAAAAACATTTATATGTAGTACATAACATATGTAGCGAAAAACAATTTTTTTGTGATTTCTGGTAACAACCAGATGGATGGAACCACATTTTGTAAAACACAAATGAAAAAACAAAAAGCAAAACGATTAAAATAGCGTAAAGTAAATTTAAAAACAGATAGCAATAAACGTATATAATATACATACATACTTACCTACATACATACATGCTACTAAAAAAAAAAACTGTTTTTTAAAATGACAAAGAAAATTTACAAAACTAACAAAAAAACATACAGTTGCAATATGATTAACGAAAGAAAGTGGGTGGTCAAAAAATGTCGTTTAACAGCAAGATTTCAACCTGGGTACAGAATTTATATGAAATATGATTCAAGGTACTTACGAAACAATAATTAGTAAACACAATGAAATAATATTAGCCTCAGACTATGGAGGTTTCGTTTTATGCCCATTAAATTTACTAAAAAAATTTACGAAACTATGGTTAAAAATTTTCCAACACCCCAAAAGTCTTAACTTTTTCATAATAACCTATTTTCGTATAACGTTGCGCAATTAATATTTTTACAAGCAATTTAGGGTTTCAATATGGATTTAGATCCATTTTGGATCCGCCATTTTGAATTTCGAAAAACTGATTTCAGATTCCTAATTAGCAACCATAGAAACCCCCTGGTAACAAGTTCCAACCCATGACAATGCGTAAATCGTTCAGTATCAACGTTTTAATTTTACTAGTGTCTTTTCAAGAGCACATTTTCGGGAACTAGACCCATTCTAATTGTTCAAGACAGGTGTGTAATTAAGGGAAAGTTCCCCAATAATACCAAAGTAATTATATGTAAAAACCACATTTTTAGCTGCATTTTAACATGTCAAGAAAATAAAAAAAATTGAGAACATCAGCATATTTATAAAAAACCGACCAGCGCGACCTCTAAGAAAACTTTTTATTTCAAAATAAAAAAATACGTGTCTGTTTTTAACACAAATAACAATATTCTGATGTAGCGTTTATGGATTTAAAAAAAATAGTGTTTTTATGAACCACTCTAATATATACACTTTCAAAAGTCGCTATAATATTTATTGTACGTATTTATACAAGTTCAAAAGTCTCCATCTTCTGATGAACTTAGAAACCTGCAAGAAAACGTGGTAGTTTTGGTGTCTACTCTCTTCGTGGAAGAGAGAACGCGAAAGGCAAAAACAAGCTAGCTATGTAAAAGTTACTGTTTCAAAACTCGCTATATTAATTTTTTATATAAAATTTACAAAAACTACCATACTGCGATTTTGTGTTATAATGTTATTAGACTCTTATTTACTCAAATTTTCAGATAATAAAAAAAGATACAATTTGGATTTTACTGGTTGTTGTAGAGGTTTTTTTTTTTTAAATTTATGGCTTACTATTATAAAATCACATAACGCTGTTTGCAAGTGGACTGCTCACTTCTAGTAGAATAAAGTACGAGTTTCAAATGGCTAAAAATTTCGATTGATTTTTTAGAATTTTTAAAAAGTTAGAAATTTGTAAAAAATAAGAGACGGATTCGGATATCCGATCTGATATCCGGTAGACTGCTACCCTTCATAAATTTCACAATATTGTTATATGTATTTAGGGATCTCCAAAGTGCTGTATACTGTCGTATTGTTGTATGCCATAAATTTGAAACAACTAAAACTATACTTAAGGGATTCGTAAGCTTCCATAAAAGCCTTATTATGAAACTTCACATCTTTAAAAAATAGTTGGTTGTGGTTCCAAGTCCTCTGAACATTTATTTAGCCGTTAAAAACTTTACTACATACGACAATACGACAACTTGTGAAGCACCCAAATTTGTTTTTTGTTTAACGGCATACATACTCTACACATCTACCGCTAGCGAAATTTCGTTCTCGTCACGCAGCGCTTTTTGCTATATCGTCGCCTCAGAAAACGGATGACGAATGTGCAAAATGACGATTTTGGGATTTTGATGCAGATTTACTAAGTTGGACATGCTCTTTCGATTTCTACAATCCATTTTTTTTATATCTCCATTAGTTTTTGAGATATTTCGTGCGCATTTTGTCGTATGTTACATAATATTAATGATTGGGTATGCCTTTTGTTGTATGTGCTGAAAATGCGTCACATACGACAAATTCCCATACAAACGTACCTTTTTTTTAATCATAAAACATTTGTCGTATGTGGCACATACGACAAATTCCCATACAAATGCAATCTTTTTTTAATCATAAAACATTTGTCGTATGTATCGCAAAACTTTGAACTTACGACAATACGATGGTCCTCTACTATAACGATACAATTAAAATTGAAAATTAAACTAAGTAACTAATTTTAAAATTTTAAATTTTTAAATTTTAGCTTGCACTGAGTCTCCAATGAAATGAAAGAAATAAAAATGTACAAAAGACAGAATTTAAGTATTGTTTTTTGTTTTTATATAAAGAAAACGTATGTTCGTAACATATTTACAGCATAAGAGATGTACAGATTTTTTTTATTAAATACATGATTATGTTTTTGTTATGTTTTTTCTAATAAGTAATCATTATTTAATAAATATGTCTGGTTTTTTCATCAAATTATACCATCGTCGTTGAAATAGATACTTTACTATTGTCGTATGTTCTGTGGACAAAACAAAGTGGTGAGTAAACGCTACTTACGACAAATGTATACGGAATGAAAAGTAAATTTTCTCATTAACGTTAAGAGATATTAAATGTAAAAATATGGAAAATCAAAACTAATAACACCAACTACGTCTCCTTCAAAAGTTACAAAAATCTACCGTACAGTTTCGGATTAATTCGACCTTAAACTTCAAAGTCAATTTTCTCAAAACCGTGTTTTGTAACATTCGACATCCGT